TCCACCGAAGACAGCGCCTCCTCCTCCCAAGACATCGTCTCCCCCTCCGAAAACGCCATTTCCTCCTCCGGAAACACCATCTCCTCCTACGAAGACACCGTCTCCCCCTCCGAAGACAGCATTTCCTCCTCCGATGACAGCGACACCTCCTCCGAAGACACCGTCTCTTCCCCCCAAGACAACGTCTCCTCCTCCGATGACACCATCTCCTACTCCGAAGACAGCGTCGCCTCCTCCGAATACACCAAATCCCCCTCCGATGATAGCGTCATCTCCTCCGAATACACAGTATCATCCACAGTAGAGAGCATATTCTCCACCGAAGACAGCGACACCTCCTTCGAAGACACCATCTTCTCCTCCGAAGAGATCGTCTCCTTCTTCGAAGACACCATCTCCTCCTCCGATGACAGCGTAGCCTCCTCCGAGTACACCGTCTGTCGAACAAGAACAAAGTAGAATTGGATTGAATAAGTGTTTATTGGGAAAGAACACAATAATTTTACGCAAACAATAGTCACCTGGAGTGGTTGGGTTGATTGGAGCTCGAAAGCCAGCAGCCTTTGCTTAGGGTAGGTTGGTTGTCACAGTGGGAGGGCGGATTGATGGGAGTTCTCCGAGGGGATGGGGTTCCCACAGCCGTTGCTTGGGCAATATCTGTATCGCACTGGGGTATTAGTTATGATGCGAACCCGGAGAGGGGCGGGGTTCTCCGGATTGATTACAATATGCGAAGTCTGGTTGATTATAAGGTTGATTACAATATGTGATTATTAAGATTACCATATGCCAAGTTTGGAAAGGATGTGCCGCTTATTGCGTCCAGTACGCACATAAAATCGGCACAACAAAGACACAATTGTAGGATAAGCAAACTTTATGATGGGGTCAAANTAAGTGAGATAAACAATTAATGACCTTATCAAATACTATTTAATGAAGACAAACAATCGCATCAATGATCTCTATCTAATGACTTATCAATTCGCTAGCGTGCGACACTCCCGACGACAAGGGTGACACATTTTTAGCGGACAAGATTATTCATTATTGAGGGCTATTGGATTGAGACGGAATTTGAATACAATTAATCATGGATCAAAATAACAAAACAATAATGATCACAGAACGAAGGCCAGCTACTCTGATCTAACGAGGTGATCACAAGTTGCTGGAATTGCGGTGGTTTTTGCGTTGGGGGGCCCTCTGAGCGAGTTTGGGATTGCAGGTGGTTTGTATGGGTGATGAGATAACGGCCGAATTGTCCTGTCTGTTGTGTAAGGGCGGCGCGTTCGGTATCTGGCATCGGCTGTTGTTGCATATTCGGGTGGTTGTTGTATATTCGGGTGGATTTCTCTCTCGCGGTAGC